AAATTGCAATAACAGAATTATAGTTTCTGAGTCATAGGAAATAGTTATTCTTCTCCATCTGGTATTCGTCAGACTTGCCACCTTGAGCAAGATTTAATTGTGAGATTACTCAACTATAAAGTTGGTCAAGATCTGACCTATTTTTCAACATTTCTAAAACCAAATAATGGGAAAACGGATTTAAATTGCAACCAATCGAATTCCATTTAACTATTAGGAAATTGTTTAACATGAAGAACAATTTAACAGTAGGAAACTCTATGATTTCATGATATAATGACATACTTTTCTGTTATGGTAAATTATTGGACATAATCTAGTCTATCTGGATAAAAATATTATAATTCCTGGATTTAAAAGGAAATGTCTTCTCTGTATAACATTTTATTTGTGTAGAAACACATTTCACTCTACCAATCCAAGTGGGAAAAAAGTTTATTTTACATACCCCATATAAAAAAATTCTAATAAATATACAAAACAGAGATGGAATTTGTAGATGTACAGTGAAATAAAATACTACCTGAGCCTTTTCAAATCCTGTTAAGTAGACAGAAAAATTTCTAAAAAGAATAAGCTTCAGTCTTTAATAATAAGTTTACTACATAGATTTCTTTGCTATTGTGAGGTAGAAAAACAGATATATAATTGAGGGGGTTCCCCTTAACAATGTTTAATACATTTACATTGAATTATTTTCTTATTTGCAAAACAAATAGACAAGACGAGGAGGTTTTGATTCTGTGTGACTGTTTCCTGATCACAACATCACTCAATTCCATATTCCAATGACTGCATCTCAAATGATCCGAGTTTGCAGATGATACAACAGTGATTGGTCTCATTTGAGACAACGATGAAACTGTATACAGATGGGAGGTTGAACAACTAGCTTTGTGGTGTGACCAGAACAATCTGGAACTGAACACACTCAAAACCATAGAAATGATGGTAGTCTTTAGGAGAAACTCTACCATACTACGACCTCTTATAATACTAGACAACACAGTATCAACAATAGAAACCTTCGAATTTCTACATTCTATCATATTTCAAGGCCTAACATCAAAAATGTCATCAAAAAAGCACAACGAAGAATGTTCTTTCTGCGCCAACTCAGAAAGCTCAAACTGCCCAAGGAACTGCTGATACAGTTCTACAGAGTAATTATTGAGTCTGTCACCTGCACCTCTATAACTGTCTGGTTTGGTTCTGCAACCCAACAAGACAGACACAGACTTCAGAGGATAGTCAGAACTGCATAAAAAACAATTACCACCAACCTGCCTTCCATTGAGGACCTATACACTACATGAGTCAAAAAGAGGGGTGTGAAAATATTTACAGATTCCTCACATCCTGGACATAAATTGTTCCAACTCCTACCCTCAAAACAATGCTATAGAACACTGCACACCAAGACAACTAGACACAAGAACAGTTTTTTTCCCAAATGCCATCACTCTGCTAAACAAATAATTTCCTCACCATTGTCAAACTATTCACTAAGGCTGCATTACTATTAAGTCTTCTCATTGTTCCTATCACCCATCTCCTCCCACTTGTAACTGCAGGACTGTAACTTTATGGCTTGTATATTTATGATTTATATTGATATTGATTATTTCCTGATTGCTTATTTGTACCTTATGACTATCATTAAATGTTGTACCTTATGATTCTTGACAAATTTATCTTGTCTTTTTATGTACACTGAGAGCACATGCACCAAAGACAAATTCCTTTTGTGTCCAATCACACTTGGCCAATAAAGAATTCTCTTCTCTTCTCTTCTCTTCTATTCTCTTCTCTTCTATTCTATTCTATTCTATTTTTCCAAAAGTACTCACATAAGGTTCATGACCAGTGTAAATAATTCTTCTTCTCCCAAAAACTGTATTTTTCAAATGTTATTGTTAAAAGTTTGTTATATTGCACATATTATTTAGCAAATGTATGCAAAAAGAAAAAGAAAAGAAAGAAATGTGATGCATTAAGGATAATAATAACAGAATCAGATAAGTACTCAAGAAAGCTGAGGAGGGTTTACTAAGGTTCATTTTTACTAAGGTTCATTTTATTTATATGCCGCCCATTCCCAGCGGGACTCAGGGCGGCGCACAAACCCAAAGGAGGGGAAGGAAACACAACAGGAGCATGGTCTTATCATGAATTTAGAAGCTTAGCTTTAAGTAGCTGGATAGCTATAATATATTAATCATAACCCTTTGAAATAACCAGAGATAATTGGAACTGATGCTTTATATTGTTTGGTTGAAACAGTTTTTGTTCCTCAAGGATCAAAGTGTAACATTTCTTCAATGTAATGACTCTTCCTTTCTTCAAATAGGTTGCAATCAATTGAATAAAGTTCTGTGAAATGTTTAGGCATTTTGGATAAGTGATTTTTCATTTGTCCTATGTTATATAATAAGGAAAATATTGTCTAGATCATCTTCAAATATATTAATATAAATTTTTGCCATTCCAGAATCTTCTGCTGATTGTTTCAAATGTTTCTTTAATACATATAACTGAAACTTAATATTAAGAAATGTTTCAGTTCAATGATTATGAATGAATTACTTCCATTTTATTTATGTGTGTATGTAAGTCTAGGATAGTAGCGGAACAGAAAAACTATTGTCCACATAGAATTAGGCTTAATGCCATTTATTTTCCTAGTAAAATTTTCTAACAATAATTGTAATTATATTAAGCTAATAAACACACACTCAAAATGCACCTTTAAAAAAAATAATGATTCTTCTTTAAAAAATAGATTCTCTTATAAACTGAACAATCAGGGCAATTTTAAGTATTTATTATTTGGAATATAACTATTGTTGTTTCCACAATTTGATCATGGTAAGATATAAACCTACATTTCAGTATATATTTTGGAGTGATTATGCAGAGATAATATTTATCAATCTAACCTAAGAAGAAATGTAACAAAATTGTATGAAAATAGAAGAAAGAAAGAACTTGTCAAATGAATAGTATCCAAGTATATGAAAAGACAAATAGCAAATAATAGATTTGACCTAGATGAAAGTAGTATATTTTGCGAACAATGTAATTACTTTAGTAATACAAAAGAACAAGTCCTAGTAAATTAAATATTATTTAATTTTGATGTAATAGAGCTATTCATATATTGAGTAGTGGGTAAATCTTCATTCTGTTCTAGAGGCTATTATTGCCTATACATTAGAAAATTACAAGTTGTGCTGTTGTGTATTGCAGCTTTACCTCAATATGCACTCAGAGAGATTCATGGATGTTCTATTTTACTGACCCCCCCCCCTCGCTTTTTTTTACAACAAATGCTTGTAGGAGCATAGCAAGAAGAAACATTAAAAATCTGCCTGAAGACAAATAGTGTAGTAGCATATTGCTCTCCAAGCCCAAATTTGGGCTGCTATTTAGTAATAGTCCTTAGATGCTAAATTCTTCCAGGCTTCCAGGAGGAAAATAGCTGTTTTCCTTTCATATTCCCACTTGAAAGTTTCTTTCTGATTTTGATTATGTTGTCTTCATGTCAGACTTTACTTCTAGAAACTGCCTTGACAATTCCATTTTCTTGACAATCTTTTTGAAAGTGATTTACTTTTTTCTTCTTCCTAGGGCTGAGAAGGCATGATTGACCCAAAGACAACCAACTGGCTTTGTGCTTAAGGCTGGACTAGAAGTCATGACCTACAATTTTGTATTGTTGTATTGTAACTATTACACCAAACCAGCCCTCATATTTTGTACAACTACAAATAATACTCTGATATTATTCCAAGTACAACAATCCTAATCATGTTACATTGAATATTGAGAGAAACCAGAAAGATTATTTTTCCCATATTTTCATTGGATTTGTATATATTGACTATATTGTCCCTGGAATTCAGTGGATCTACTGTAATTCACTGTCCATGCAATTCCTCAAAGGTTCAACATACAGGGAAAATGTGATAAATAAATTTTCCATGATTTGCAAGTCTAACCAAAATACTCTCCTTAATATGAATTATTGGCAAATATATAACAAGCCTGCCTTGAATTTGTGTTATGCAACTGCATGCATTCTTTATTCAGAAAGGGGAATGATAGAAAACATAACATCCTCCTCTATTATGAGGGGAGTCAAAGAACCTCTTACAAAGCAAAACTGAGTGTTGATTCTTGAAGATGTCAGAAATGGGAATGTAGTACAGATCCTTTTCATCCTTCTACTGTATTTGGAATAAAACAATGCTAACATGATTTTCTTGTTTGCTTTCATTAACTCAACACCAAAAAGATATTAATGCTTAGAACCATTTTAAAGATAGCAAGCTTAAGCTAACTCTATTTATTTAACTTAACAAAGCTCATATAAAATTATGGTGTGCGGGTGTGTGTGGAGGTGGGTGTGCACGCACATGTTTGTGTGTGTTAGATTTTCTTGGTTTCCATTTTGTGGCATGGATTGGATGACATTTTGACAAAATTCATGAAGGAGCCAAATTAAACATCCTGTGTATATCAGTATAAAACTTAAACTGTTTGTTTTCTGAAGAGTGTAATATTTTCTATCATGTCAACGCATCTAAAAAGATATTTAATACTAATCTATTTCTTTATTTTGAATTGATATTTTCCTTTTTTGATTCTCATTTTTTTTTAAAGGATTGCTACCAACTTGTTTTGTTTGTTAGGCAAATATTGAGATAAAACAATCCGAAGATCACTACTGCCCAATATTAGAATATCTGAAACTTTAAGGCTAGTTTGGTAATGGTGTGTCATTCTGGATTAAGATATTATTTAACTGCTATCTGCAGATATTCAAACTGCACTTATGCTGGCAGAGAGTAAAAATATTAAGAAATATGCTATTAAACAAATCAGAATGATAAATGAGAGCATACGTGAATCAACATGACAATATATGACATAACAATCCAGTAACTGTCAAAATGTTTGCATTTTTATGACAGTTCCTTTCCTGTACTGATAATCACCTGTGCTCATGAGGCTGGGTGGGTTTCGGGTGGTCACCTGTTGCCTACCTATTACTGCTAAGAACAAGAAAAACAGTTTCCAGGCAGCATGCATGGGAGAGAGAAAAGAAAAAAGGAAATAAAAATAAAAATGTGCCACTTCAGAAAATTGCATTTTAATCCTGAAAATTTGCACCCAAAATTTTAACATATATATATTTTTAAAAAGGATTGCTACCAACTTGTTTTGTTTATTGTGTGTGTGTGTGTGTGTGTGTGTGCATGTATGTATGAGATAAAGGACCATTTATCAGCTCTCTGCCTGGGTTTCAATTATAATTAGTGAAATATGTTCTGCATTACATGAATCAATTGAATACCATTCACAAGTTAATGCAATTTTCACAAATAAAGTGTTAATGCTAACAGATATTGTTTAGGGACAAGGGATAAAAATCAGTTTACAAGGAAAAAGAAAGAAAGAAACCCATACCATATTAAAGAATATAAAATTTACAGTATGTCATTAAATGAATTAAGGATGCAACAACAGATTTTTTTACAATTAAAATTCTGTGGCAGAGAACAAATAAATTGAGGCTTAATTGTTATCTTATTTGAAAGGAATGCTCATTTTACTAATGATGCACATTGAGGTTGTTAAACATATTCACTGTTTGATTTTTTTAAAAAAAATTCTGGATAAAATTCCACTTCTTTCTCATTTAAACTAGTTTGTCATGGATTTCGTTCAAGTACGAAAAAGACTAAAGGCACAAAACAGTTTGTACTAATAATAAAGAAAAAAAGGTTAGATAGCAGTTTTATATTCATTTGAGGGATATGTAGGGTGGTGCAGTAGTGCAGATGAGTACATCAATCATATTGTCTGCATGTATGTTTGTAATATACTGAACATTATAATAAATTCAGGAAATTCACTCTTTGGAATAAAACAGGATCTCCTGCATATAATGTCAGAGGCATATACTTTTCATTTCAGTTGACTTAACTGGGAAGAAAATTATGTGCACTTTTGTTAAATTTATAAGTACACACATATACATAAAGGGTACAGGTAGTCATTGTTTGGCAACTGCCTCACATAGTGATTGTTTGCAATTATGGTGTTGATGAAAAAGTAACTTTAGAACCAATCCTCACATTCACGACCTTCACCGGTCTGTAAAGTAAAGGAAAGCTGAAGTAAACACATTTGGGGCTGACTGACAACTCCTTCATTTAACAACCGAGTTGCCAGTCCCAATTGTGGTCACTAAACTTTCAACTGCTTCAGAAGACAATTCTTGCTTTATTCAAGGACTGATCAAAATGTCCATCCTTCATTTTTTTTAATTGAGTAAATAATAATTTTGGGATAAGCAGCCATGAGTTGATTTCCAAATGATTATGGAAAAAATGGATTAATTTATTTATCAATGTCTTCTTTTTCATTATTTTTTAAAGTTCCGGAAACACAGAAATGACAGCAAGTCCTGTTAGTCAGTTTCCTCCTAAATTACACAGGGATTGCATTGTACAATGGGAAACTTGCATGCATACTTGCCTGCAGATTATTTGATTAGCATGGAAGCAGTACTACATTGACATAATGGAAATTGGTAAGGTAAGAAGCTATCTTCCAGATGCTGATATTAAATGTCACCTTTCTTGCTTCCCCCCCTCTTGAAATTGTTTCAGCCCAGCCCAACTTATTTAATTTCATGATAGGAAATTTCATCTTTTATTTCACCCAAATTCCTGAAATGAAAAAGAATTAATTTTGACTTGGTTTCTACATTCTTTAGCAATTATCATGGGGCTTTATGTTAGATACTCTTGTCACTAAGAGTAATATAATACATCTTGACATTTTACACCAGCTTCTAATATTTCATTTTGGAGGCACTGGTAATTAATGTTGGTTAAAATTGGAAATACTATCCCATCCCTGAAGATTACAAGACTTCACAGTAAGACCAGATATTTTTCCCAGTTTATTCAGGAAAGGTAGAAGATGGGCAAAAAGAAATCAGAGAAGTAACAGACCTTCTTTGGAGAAGCAGTTTTTGATTAAGTGCATTGTTAAGAGCCGGGGTGGTGCAGTGGTTAGAATGCAGTACTGCAGGCTGCTACTTCTGACTGCTGCCTGTCTGAAATTTGGCAGTTCAAATTTCACCAGGCTCAAGGTTGATTCAGCCTTCCATCCTTCCAAGGTCCATAAAATGAGGACCCAGATTGTTGGGGGCAATATGCTGATTCTGTAAGCCACTTAGAGAGGACTGTAAAGCACTGTGAAGTGGTATATAGGTCTAAACGCTATTGCTATTGTAAATGAGAAGAAGTTACTAGTCTTTCATTACCCCAGAAGAGAGCAGAATGTGCAAAAAGTACAAGTAGTCCTTGACTTATGGCCTTTTGTTTAGCAACCAAAAGTTATCATGGTGCTTATGAAAGGGACTTATGATTGGTCCGCACACTTATTTATTTATTTATTTATTTATTTATTTATTTATTTATTTATTTATTTATTTATTTATTTATTTATTTCCTACCTTTATTATTTTTTAAAATAACTCAAGGTAGAAAACATACCCAACATACTTTCCTCCTCCTATTTTCCCCACAACAACTATCCTGTGATGTGGGTTGGGTTGAGAGACAGTATCTCATTGTTCATTATGACCATCACAGCATCACCATAGTCATGTGATCAAAATTTGGGCACTTGGCAACCAGTATGTATTTATGATAATTGTGGCGTTCCAAGGTAAAAATAATCATCAATTTATGGTTAGTTGTTTAGGGACCATTTGAAGTTATGGTCTCCCTGGAAGTATTTGCAACTCAATGTCAAAGTTCCAACAACCGTCCAACTACTATGGTCATATCACAACACCTCAGGCACTTTTGTCATAATTTCTATTTAAGTGTTTTATTCCAAGCAAACTCCATCTATACAGATTTAACTCAAGAGATTCCTGTTACATGTTTAGTATCATTAAAGATAGGCTGATAGTCTTCACATGTATTTCCATATAAACTAGGAACCTGCATAAAAATGATTGTAGGTTATGTGGAGGTCAACTTTTTAGAAATAATCTAAAACCTTTTGTGATCAGGGCAGTCCAAATCTCTGAGGTGTTGCTACTACAAAGGGCAGACCCTACAACAAAGAAAGCATACTTTCTAGGTACTATTAGATAGCATTTATTAAAGGAGAGGACACAAAATGTATCCACTCAATCCAGTTTTGTAAGATAAGCAATGATGAGGAAAAGATGATCCTTGAAATAGTCTGATCCTATGACATGGTTATTGTAGATGGTAGCAAGCATCTTGAAACCTTTCAACTTTTGATTTTCAGATCGTGATACTTTATAATCTCCCATTCTTTGTCTTCTATTCTACTATCCCCTGATATTGCCACACTTTTATCCATATTTTCTTATTTTCCATCATAGCTAAATTTAGTGGGTTATCATCAAGTTGTATTGCGAAATCACACAATATTGGCAACTACTTTTTTCAACTCTATGTTCTCACCAATTTTTCCTTACTGACACATGATAATTTTCTGTTCACTGTTCCAATGAATAATTTAAGTGACTCTGTTATGTTGTTCTTTACAATCAGTTTATATGATCTTCTTGAAAATCTCAACATTTGATATAATATTTCTTCTCCTTCTTTGAAAATATGCATTTTGAATCATTTGCTGATATTTCAGTTATGGTCTTGATAGCATTTGTTCACATGGCTTTCTCTTGAGTAGTCAAAATCAAGCCTTCATTTTTTGTTAAATTTTTTTTGGAAATATTTCAGTTGTAAGCCAGTTTTATCTTTAGCCACTTTCCCTTTGATATTTGCAGAAATTAAAAAGTACATGATGTACTTTTTCTTGCCAAAACTCTACTTGTGTTTAGATTAAATTATTTCAATATTCATGTTTTGTTTCGTGTATCTTCAGTAAGTTTCAGTTTTTATTTACATAAGCAACTGATGCATGCTTTTCTTCTTCAACAGTTTGTTTGAATTAGAACTTCTGCTTCCATTTTTGTAGGGCAGGTACAATATTATCAATATTATTAAAGGGATATAATGCATAGTAAATAGTCATCAGTTTTCTGTCTTTTTCTCCAAAGCTGTCCAGTTCAGCTTTTGTCCAGTTAATAATTCCAGCACTATTTTGTTTACTACATATGGACCAGGTATTGATGACCTTGATGGTGTATCCAGTGCTCAATTTTGTCTTTAGCAATTTTCTCACTCCTACTTTTTTTTTATTACACACTAGTGTTATTTCTAGAACTCCTTCTTTATTCAGATCACAATTAGATCACAAGCATATCTACTAATTTGTCACATACTTCAAATGCTTATATGTTTCTACTATAACACTATTTGAAGATAAAATGAATAAATGAAATATCCTTTCAAATCTTTTTGATAGATTGATAACAATACAGATTTTTCCTTATTATACCTACATTACATCTTGCTAAAAACAATTTCTTTTTAAAAGAAGATTTTTTTCTACAAAAGTAATCTTTCTAAACTATTTTGAAAAAAAAGATTAATTATGAGTATACTTTCAGGCATTAAAAACATAGTAGAGAATCCAAATTTCTTGGCATGAATCATTAAACAATTGAGAAATTAATTGCAGTTTTAGGGTTCTCAAACTTCACCAAACTATAACCACCTAAAACTATATGAATGATAAATGTATAGACAGCTTTTTCATACTTTATGAGTTGGGCTTAGCACTTCTTTTTCCCTAGGTCACCTTTAGTTTTCTATTTTTTTTCTAAAACTCTTGGTTATCTACAACATGTTCTTCTTTCTTTTCTTTGCCTTTCCATTTCCCTTAGCAAATTTCATTTTTTCTGTGCTATAAATAATATTAAATTATAATATTTTCTCTATTTTAAAACCTATAAATAAAATAAAATTGATAGACAGGATAAAAATACTGAATTTATCTATTGCATATACTTCTACAAATACCCCAATATATCTGCATCACATTGGAAGTCACCGGCTAGTAGGAAACCATTTGCCAATTAACATTGGTTTAGTCGTATCTCAAACCCTGCTTTGTATTTTTTGATCTTAGCAAAATGGAAGCAGGTTTTAATAAATCATTCCCATTATACAAGTTGGTTCAAGCCTTATCAGTTACAAATTCAATGTTGTTCACTCTGATATCCCTTTGTTTTGGTTTTCTTTTCCTTCTCCAAATACAGATGTAGATTTTTTTTTCAAAGCTCAGGAGAGAAGCTGTGAAAAATGCTAAAAATCTATTACCTCCAAAATATCTTCATTCTTTTACTTCTGTTAATTTTGGGGTAAATTAGTAGTGACAAGTCTGAAGAATTAAGATTTTTTCCTCTGACTCCAATTTAATATGATTCACTTTTTAAAAGGATTTTTGACTTCATTTTAATGTGATTCTTTGATTTCATGACAGTTGCAGAAAAACTTCCTTGCATTGCTGTTACCACAGCATGGTTTTCAGACAAATATTTCTCTATTAATCTTTCAAGATTTTTTTACCAATTCCCTTCCTTTTTAAGCAGGAGATATAATACAAAGTAATATTACATTCAGATGTGATCCAGTGACTAAACTATGGGATTATCACAGGCCTTATCAATGGTTTGATTTAACCAAGGTATGCTGAATGATCATAGGATTGCCAATATGATCACCAATGTCCGATAATGGATATGGCACAAGAAGAAGAAAAATGCTGAATGTGCCATAGAGGCTTGGTTCACACCAGTGGTAGGTTGTAGGCGGTATGCCCTGTACGGGCATACCAGAGCCTGCCCGGAGCACTGGGTACCGTTCCCAAATGTTTAAATACTGTGTTCATACTCTGAATTTTATACCTTGACAGTGATCATTAGATTTCACATATAATTACAAGAATAGAAGCTACAGGAAAAATAAAACCATCATGTGAGAAAATAGCATTGACATAAATTAAACCATTCTATTATTCAGCTTGGTACCAAAGTGAAATTTGGGAAAAATGTCTAGATTAAACTGATTGTAATACAGTTTTAAAATATGCATTTTTTCCCATTTCTGCAACTATGTTCAAGGACATTTTTATTGAGGAAAATGATTTGGCAGACAGGCATCTCTCTGCTTTTATAAATTGTTCTATTGACACATTTACTGGCAAAGCTACCTGCTTGATTCATTCCTTTCCAAAGGAATCACATCTCTGTCATTTAGAATGAGGGGTGTCAAATTTATTTTAACAAAGCACCACTATTCTGTTTAGATTAAGCTAGACACTAGTATGTGGCCAATAGTTTGATTTCTCATCTTAAATTACCATTAATTTTAAGTCATTCTTGTCAAGGTCCCTGGAGGCACATCAGCAGAACTTGTACAAATCAAGGCTGAACTTTTAGATATTGTGAAAACACTCTCATTGGAAATCAAGGCATGTGCTCTCTTTTGAATTCTGTTTACCAGCTTGATTATCACTTCCATATCATTATCAAAACTGAAAGCTCTGCCTGGAGCGTGGTATTCTTAAAAGCATAAAATTATTTGAAAGAAAGTAGAGGGGGAAAAAGGAAACTTTGTTTGGGAAAAATAACCAACAGTGTTTTTTCTGGTTTAAATCAACATATGGATATTCCACACATTGTGTAAATGATAGATAGATAGATAGATAGATAGATAGATAGATAGATAGATAGATAGATAGATAGATAGATAGAGAAAATAGCCTTGTTATTCTCTGGTAACAAAAGAAAAAACAGTCAGGGGCATCTTAAAGATCATTTGGTACTTGTGCTTTAAATCATTGCAAGAATTTGTTTCCATAATTTAAAGATAGGAGAAAGAGATCTTGAACATACCTTTGGTGGCTAGCCGGACACAATTTATTTTGGTTTCCTGCAAATGACAGAACATGAAAGGACATCAGATTGTTTCTTTATGAAGCATTTAAGAAGGAACAATATCCTTCAGCTAGAGTCATACATAAATAATATTTCTGAAATATCTATGCCTAAGCATAATAAATATAGGGCTGTGCACACAATGAAAACGGTTTAGAAGTGCCTTAGACCTGACCTGAATGCAAGCATACACTTCTCATCTACTATTCATCTAAGGGAACATCATATTTTTCAGATTCCTAGTGCTTCAAGAGTCACCCTAACTTTGATGATGAATTCCTTAAAGGATATCACTTTTTTTCATACTTATATGGAAACCTGAAACAAGATCAGGTTACTTTAATGAACAGCAAAGAAATGCTATTTCTGCATGAGACCTGAAGCACTTCAAATCACTTTTGAAGAGTATTCAACCCTACTAAATGCAAATTGATGCCACTGTGCATAAAGCCTGAGTGCCATTGTCAGGGAATAGATTGGGGATATAAATTAAATTCAATATGCACATTGGTGAAAGGGAAATGGTGCAGTCTGCAAAAAGGACAAAAATACACAGGCATAAATAGAATCCTCTACTGTCCATCACGCACTACTCGGACACCTTCACAAATATATACAAGGAAATGCATATTTGAAAAAGATATGCCTAGCATAAGAATATGAAACTTGAAAAAAAAATGTTTAAACTCTGCAGAAGAGTGTTACAGTTACAAATCATTTCTTTTCTTTTCTTTTTAATTTCTCTTTTTTTCTTTTGCTGAAAATTGTGAGAATATAGAAATATAGGAAAATTCTGCAAATACAGATTTAGACTCATTTGCATACATTTTGTTCAAAAAATTGTTTATGCATAATTTAAGAACACCCATTTGATACCCAAATGATATATAATCAGATTGTACTTTGCAATTTGTCTTTATGGTTTTGACAAAGAAATATTTGCTGGGTGATAATAAACTACAAATGCCACTTTCTTCCTCTCTTTTACACTGTAAAACATGTTTCTCCTAGTACCAGACTTTGAATAAATGATTGTATATTATAGGACTTTATTAATGTGGCTATTTTGTGCACATCTTGGTTGTATAAATTATTGTATATAAATGTATAATAGGGTTCTATTGATATGGTTATTTCATGCCCATTTTGCAAGCATTAATATTGCATTATATATTTACAATTTTCATCTTATATTTTAATAATATTTCTAAAAAAAATTGAACAATGCTTTATTATAGCAAATATATTTTCTGGTGAGATAAGCTAAAAACATGATTCTACATCCAGTGATACCAGTATTATTGTATATCATTTTGTATAATTTCTTGATCCCAGAATACTTCTTTAAGCAGACTGTTTTAATGCTATCATTTCTACCAGCTGACCAACACAAGAGAGGAACTCTACCAGATTAATTTTTAAGAAGGATATTATTTGCCACTTCAGATATATTCAAAACATCTTCCAAGTCTAAGAGGAAACAATCTGATTCAGAGTAGGAGAGTCTAAAAACATCATTTGAACATCCCACAAACTCATCCAAACCTCCATCAAAAAAAAAAAAGTCCAATCAGATGAATGGACAGAATCACAGGCAGAATTTTGCAATTGATAGCTCTAGTTTCCCATGATGAAATGCCTTCATCATGGCTTTATTTTTCTATTTACTTTCTTTTGCTTCCTATTACACTAAAGTTTAACATAAGTCCTGTTCAGGTATCAGACTTCCAGAGTTCATGACAGAAAGTGCTCTGATAAGTCCCAAGCCCAATTGTCACTGAACTGAAATTGGTTTCTGGGAACATTTGGCAATTGAGAAAAGTTGCTGTTCACCTCTCACACATTGGATATATCACCTTGCAGAGAGTCCCCTCCTCCTTAATTTTTTTTTTAAAATGTTTGCAGAAGGAGAACAACCCACATTGCTATACTTAACAATCAGTTGTGCTGCAGATCGCGGGTGGGGGAAATTACTATATTCCATATTGTTTCTCTTGCGTCTTAGGAAAAAAAATAGCTCAGCTTTGTGTTTTAGCACTGATACATGAGACCTATAATATTGCTGGTATTGATATATTATGTGGGCATATTTGTATTAGTTTGAGACACATACAATAAAGGACAGGGATGGATAAAAGTCTGACATCTGAAGAGTGTGTACTGCCAAACCAGATTACTTATTAGTTTCAGTTGGACTTAAATGCTGTCTTCTTCCTAGCATTATTCCTATGCTGTGGCAGGGTCTGTATTATGATAATAAGAGGTATGTCTTCTTGTCATCTGATATCCTTCTACTATAAATTAGGCTCGGATAATAATGAGGCGTCTCCTATGAATTCTTTCTAAAAATACATGGGTGTTTTCTTCTAAATGTTAATTTATGTATACTATGTTGTCAACCCCCTCCTCCTTTTTAAAAAATAATGTCTTTTGCATGTTAAGAGCTTCAGTGTATGGCCAAGGTAAGCTGTACTGTAGCCATTCAGTCTCTTCTTTCATTAGCTAACACTGTTACACTGAAAATTACACGATATTTATATATTATGTCTGTTAAATTGTGACCAACTTAGATCAGCCATTTCTTTGGCTTTTGTTGCACAATGTACCATTTTTGGTGTAATATGCCAAAATGTGTTCTAGTCTTGGGACTGTCACAGAAGAGTTAAATTTTCTGGATCTCCATCCAAGGATAGTCTAAATAGAACACATGTGAAACTGGACATTCTTTCATTTTATAATACAAGCCACCTGTTTACTGGAATGTGTGGTTTTTTTTTCACTCTATGGACTTGTCAAAATTCAGACGTTTAAATGAAATGTGTCAGAGTTGGGTGTAAAGTGGGGGGGGGGGAAATTGTATAGAGAAAATACAACTGGTTCCTTATAGTGGGTGGAGTTCAGGGATTCAATCTTTCTCTCCCCTTATAAACATTTTTGGGACAAAGTAGGGGATTAAGCAGTGCAATGAGTGCATTAAGTATTGGCAATTTGGCAATTTAATAAATTTATATGCCGCCCAATCCCATAGGACTCTGGGCGGCTTACAGAAACGAAAATAAAAGTTAAAGTTAAAAATAAAGAAAAGATACAATTAAAAAAAAAACCACACCAAACATTCCATTTAAGTGGGGCTGGACCTTGATCAACAGCCCCAGGCCTGCCGGAACAGCCAGGTTTTCGTGGCTTTTCGGAAGGCCGAGAGAGTGGGAAGGGTCTGGATCTCTACGGGTTGATCGTTCCACAGGGCCAAAGCAGCTACAGAGAAGGCTCTCCCCCTTAGATTAGAATCTAATCTAGTATTAGATTCATAATGCAGCATCCCTAAAAAAAAAAACCTTCCAAACCATCAAGATGATTTTTCTGATCAAGAGGAAGGAGCAAAATATCTTAAGCCTCTGTAAAGTTTAAGGTATCAGTATTGCCCTTTGTACACTCACACAGAAAAATGCTCACAAATTTCAGCCAGTGCCATCACCATATTACAGGCAATGGTCTCTATGGCCTTCAGACAGTACACACAGTTGAAGTACAAAGTCAAAAACACTTTGTGTGTGTTTTGGATGCCCCAAATTATTATTTTTTTTGTTTTACAAGATTTCCCAAAGTTTTTGACAATCTCACAATTAGCATTTCTCAAAACCTCAGCTTTTATTACCAACATTTTAAATGTAAACATAAAAATCTCACAAGATTTGATAATTTTACAAAGTTAAAGCAATTATAAATGTATTCATTTAATTCTGGTTGATTTATTTAAAACATTAAGCCTTTATATCTTGCCTTTCCTCATAGAGTTCTATTTATTTTTTCCCCCTGAGAATCCTGTCTATGGTTGTTGAGGGTGCCATAATATTCTGGATTCTGCACTCTAACCTCAGAAGAAAATCCAAGAACTTTATCAAGGACAGAAAGCAGTTATTAGAAATGAAGACAGAAGTGAGATTACATTTTTTATCCAATTAAACCATTCTGTTTATATTACCTGATGTAAATGCTTCTCCCGGAGACAAAATCAACATTGAAATTTCATTTTTTTACTGTGACCAATTCATATTTAATTAAAATATCATGGAAAGACGAAGAGCAAGGCATTGATAAATAGATGGATACAAATCTCATTAATCAATCTGAAATTGTGTTGAAAATAGGAGATACTGTTTACTAGGAAATAATCTTAGATTAACAGTGCTATCAAATAAAGAGGTTTTTTTAATGCTCCGTTTCTATGCCAAGCAATGTTTATAAAGTGAAGTTGATAGGAGGAAAAAGTATAGCTGGAAGCAGTTAGGACTGGCACTTCTTATTAAATAATTATGGAATGAAGCATAAACTTGATTTTTATATATATATCTGCATGATTTGGAATTATATTATCTCTTGGGTTGTCATTATTTATTAGTTGGAGCGTGCTTCAAACAAAAAAATAAACCATAACCTCACACATATGTTTATCCTTCCTCTCCCTAACCTTTACAGAAAGTGGAGATTTTCACCTTCTCCCAACAATTCTATGCCTGGGCAATCTCCCTTGCTTTACTCTGTAGTTCATTGAGAGACAGAAAATATATTCTCTTTCTCCCTCCCAGAGATTTTGAGTAGGTTAATAGAGGTGTGGTGGGAAGAGCCTTTTTTGTTACATCAAAGCGATCTTGGTCAAGTTTCCTACTTGGTTTCCTTTTGCAAACAAGCTCATAAATACTGCATGTTGCAACGGACAGTGATAAGCACTTTAATTCCACCCACTTCAACAAATGTGTTATACACTTCAGATACACTTGTGATAATACAAGATGCTTCATTTCAAATATTAAAACAATCACATGGTTTGGCATATTGGATTTTTTTTTAAAAGGTCCAGGGGATTTATTGGTAAATTGAGTGAATTTTGCTGATGATGTACTTACCCCATTTGCTTTACTAAGTGCCTGAAAATAAATACTGTAGCTTTTCAATGGTGAAAGTGGAGCATTCCAATAGCCATTATAGGTTTTGTTGTCTCCTACTGTGAAAGGCTGTGTAACTGGAAGATTGACTGGTTTCAGCTCAGCTGCAAAGTAATGGGGGGAGTCAAGATTCGAAGCATTTTTGTAGCTCACTGGAACAGAGAAACATTCAATGATGTCTGCAGCTCTTCGTGATTTCTGTGGCCGTTCTTCTTTTACAACAAGCTGGTAGACACTGAAAAAGACCAGGAAAATTTAATGGGATAGGAATAAACAACTTTGTGGGTATAATAAAAACAACCTAATTCAGCAGAGTATTGGCAATAAAAAATGGATTATCAGTAGAGTTCAGGTGTCTGCATTTATTGTAGAAAAATCCCAAGAGTTGCACTAAATAGCACTGCTGACCAGTATTCCACAAATGTAATAAGTGCAGAAAAGTAGTAGAATTTTACTGCAATGATGTCAGCCTGAATTGGATTGGTACTTAGCAGTACTCCTATTGAGCACTTCTGCTGTCTCCCTGCTACAGAACTCAGCTAAGCAACTCATACAGCTGTCTTCTAGATCACTGAGAAATTTCCCAAATGTATGAGGAAACTAGTTGGATCCATAAGGTGCCTGGGATAAATTATCTTAATGGCCCCACACCCTCTAAGAAGGACAGTAGTTGCTGTGAGTCCCAAAGTGACCAGATAGTAATCTGACCATGACAAATGATTGAAGTTGATGTCTTTTATCTTTTGCTTGCACACTACTTGCTGTGAGGTAAAGCACCAGATCAAATGTGTGGCTCCACAGGGTGAATTGGGGATGTGATGATATTTTTAATTCCATTTTCAAATGCTCCTGCCAACTGGTTTCCATACTTTAAGTCCAAATGACGACCCACGCGAATTGGAATGAGGAACAGAAAGAAAAGGAACAACAACGTTTTGTTGAATTCTGAAAGACTTATAAGCACATTCAACTGAATCTTCTTTCAGTTGTTGAATGAACATCACTTGTGTAAGGGACACTTATGGAGCGGCAGAAAAATATACATCCCTGCATGAATTTATAACTTGTATAATCACATTGAAACCTTTAGAACTACTAGGATTGCAATAAATTGAATGAGTGACATGGTTGAGAAGCCAAGTCAAAAAACGGTTAAAGAGTTAAACAAGGTATGAGATTATATGAACTATAATCACAATACCTTATTATTACACATTTTGGTCCTGAGGATTATAGTTCAGCAAGCCCTAGAGTCTGAGGAGTGAATTTTCCCTCAAAAGTAGAATGGCAGGAGATTGAATGTAAGAGTTGGAAAAATACAAGTAGTTCTTGTGTATTGATGTCCTGTTTAATGACTACTTGAATTTATGACCGTGCTGAAAAAATAACTTTACAAGAGGGGGGGAGGAGAGAGGGAGAATGGGAAGAGGGAAGGGGAGGGAAGATGGGAGGGAAGGAGGGAGGGAGAGAGAGAGAGGGAGGGAGGGAGGGAGGGAGAGCACCTGGGATTCTATTCCATGCTGCTAATGAGGAGAGAAAGATAGCTTGAGGATACAATGGACTCAGGAGCATCACTTGGCAAGTAAACCAACATGCAGAGAGGAAGATATGTTGATGGTTTCATCAGTAAAAAAAAAAGTTGCACAGTGAATTGCCTGGGGGAGAATCAAAGTTTGAACATCCAGGAAGAAACTAAGAAGAGAAGCAAATTGGATACCTGATCTAAGAGGAGGAATCAAACAGCCAAGAAGAGAAAGTAGAGAACAATAGCTCTATAAGATTTTGTTTTCTTTTATTTTGTTGTGCATTGAGAATTTTTTGCCAAGAGACAGAGGAAGAACATTTCTTTAAATATTGTGCTTTTGAAATGTACTTCACATTTAAGGGAACTCTTCCATCTATTGTGTGTGAGAGAAAACAGCTTATTAATTCTGAGTGAGCTTTATTCCAGGACACTGAAAGATTAATCCGATTGATTCAATAGCACAGTGTTGCTTGAAATGCTTGTATATGTGCTTTAATGTCCAAGTGTTTTAATATATCCTTTCTTAATGATGTATGGAACAGCCGTAGAAAGCTCATAACAGAGATGAGGGGTTCTTTTTTCTTATTGAATGCCCTGGAAGGAGAGAATATTGTTCATCAGAGCCTCTCAAATAAAACATTTGACAGCAGGCTTGTTTACAATTCTAAATACAATACAATACAATAGTTGGAAGAGACCTTGGAGGTCTTCTAGTCCAACCCCCTGCCTAGGCAGAAAATCCTATACCATTTTAGACAGATGGCTATACAACATCTTCTAAATGAGCTCAATGGGATCTTGTTGGGAGATCTCATGGAGAATTGGATCCTTGAATTCAAGGTCAGCTTCTATGTTGCAGCAAGAGCCATGTTTATGACTACACACACACATACACAAACACACACACACACACACACACACACACACACAGAAACTCTTCCATTTCTAAGTAAAAAAAGTCATCAGTTTTATCAGCAACACATTTCTAATCAGTGTGGGTCATAATTTCCCTCACCCTCAGGAAAAATAAATCAATTTCTGTGTACAGCCCAGAGTTGCTTTCTCTGTATTTATTTGTATATAAATAAATACAAATAGCTTGAAACTCTGTATAAACCCATTGATAAGTTCAGGTTCACAATTCAAAATATTCTGGCAAAATTACTCTTGAAAATATTCAGAATTTTCACCTGAGGAAAAATGGAGCAGTGTAAGCAGTTCAGTTTTAATTCAATTCAAACCTTTATTGTCAGAGTACAACATGTGTACAATGAGATTGGCTGAGCCTCCCTTTGTGCATGCCAGTGGTGGGTTCCGGCTCCTGTTACAACCGGTACACTGCAACGGGGCCAGGTGTCCACCACATGCACATGTGCAGCACATGCATTGGTAATCACCCCCTGCGACGCTCCAGCTGCTTGGCGGAGCATCATGCAGGTGCCATAAGCTCCTTGTATGTGCGCAAATGCCCTGGTCGGCTCAAATAGAGGTAAGGAGAGCGGACAGGCGAGCCCTCAGGAACTTTGTACTGGAATAGTAATTGGTGCTCCCAGCAGGCACTGTACGCCTGTACCAGGGCCTACCGGTTGTATCCCACCACTGGTGCCCACCCTCCCAACACAATATAACTCACAGTAAAAGACAAAAAATCTCTAGTCCAGTGAATCCTAACAACACCCAGTCTTATTGCACCATGCGAACTCATTGCACATCGTGCCGGCTCCGCAAATCAATCGTCCTATGTTGTTGTAGAGTTATTTTTCATTCAGAAGTCTGACAGCCCACAGATGAAAAGTGTTCTTCAGCCTATTTGTGTGGCTGCCTATGCTTCTATATCTCCTTCCAGGTAATAGAAGAATAAAGAAAGGCTGACCAGGGTGTGAGTCGTTCCTCTCAGTTATGTACTGTATGTTCCTTGTTTGGCATGAATTGCCTTGGTTGCTGGTATGCTCCCAGGTCATCATCGAAGTGCTAGTGGTTATCTTAAAAGGCCTTCATAGCTTCGAGTCAGGATGTTGTCAGATCTGACAGGAGAAGTATTAGGTGGGTTCCTCTGATGGGGCTGAGGAAGAGAATTTTTCCCTTGTGCCCTACCTCTGGAAAATCATTTCACTAGAGATTAGATTCAATCCCATCCCACTGATCTCTCATAAGATCTTGAAGACTTTTGTTATATAGCCTGTAATCCAGTTGTGTGTTTAAGCCCATATTATGTTTGTGTTAATTATTAAGGGGTATTTTTTAAGTTGTCTGAATTTAGAATGAGTAGGCTACCATCTGTGCCTTATGCAGTTTACCTCAAAGATTCATTTTGCAGTCCACAGACCACACACCAGAATGTACCAGTAAAACTGTATGTAGACAAAAGAGCTAATCCAGAAACGAATTACAGAATTCAAAAGACAAAACCATTGCATTATAACACTAATTGTTCTAGATGTTAGGTTTGCCTACCCTAAGCCAGATGAATGTATGGATTTCATCGCCCAGAATTCACCAGACAATGTGACCATTGTTGAGAATTTGGAGGATACTCAGAGCAGATGTAAAGGAAGTGATTCATTCTACCTCAGTACTTATGTTTGAGTACTAGCGACTTCACAAACATATTTATGTATCTGTTTGGCAATGCTACATAAGGTAGTTTGCCACTGCTTTCTTCTTGGCTTTTTTTTTTTTACTTCCAAGCTTAGCTTACAATGCTAGAATTCTGTTAGTCTTCCATCCAACTACTAACAGGACCGATTTACTAATTTCAGAAAAGGTCAGCCGTCTGCTGCTTCCTATTTGTCAAAGTTATCATGAAATTCAAATATAATAACACATTTTCCTAGAATATCCCTCCTTTATAAGAAGTATCTTCCAATTTAACTTAAATTGGTATTAAAATGTCTTGGCTTACTATCTGACAAATACTCCAGCATGATAACCTTTAAATTCAACCAATTTATATGTGAAATTTACACAGACTGAAGGATTAACTCATGTCCCTTTCAAGGCATCATCTACACATTTTGCAAATGTTTAACCTTCAGTGGATGTCTGGGACTTCCAAGAAGTAACGTTAATTAGTCATGCAATATTGTTTAAAAACTTTGAGATGAAGTACATACTGGAAACACGTTGAACACAGGAAAAATAACCACATTTTTCATTTTAAATTATATAATTGTTTAGAAATAAGAGCAATACATAGTCTTCGTTATTTTACTAAAGAATGAACACACTTATATCCCCCCACTTTCCTATCTGCATGTTCTTTAATCTCAAAATAATCTTGATTTTACTCAAGAATAAAGTTAATCTTTGTCAAATATAGACAAGATAAAGAGATTGTAATACATGCAATAATAAAGGGTTGACTATATTTTGAAGTGTGGGTTACATCAGAATCTTTCTAATAAATTGTACAACTATTTTAACAATAATATGAAAGGAACACAGTGGTACAGTGGCTTAATGATGTTGGAACCAGTGACATGCAGTCAGGGGAGGCAGGGAAGGCAGAGCCTCACTACTGTCATCATGAAAAGAAAAAAAAATGTAAAAGGAAAAAGGCTGAGGTAGTTGCTCCCAGAGTC